TGTTTCTCTAGTAATATTTCAAAGCAGTAGTTATTAAATTTTCTTTTACAGAGAATATAAAGGCAAAGCAAGACACAAAAGTCAAAAGGAAATGCAATGAAAGTATAACTAACAATAAAGGAACTCTGTGAATTTTTCATAAGATAAAACATGAACGGTAAACCAGAAGGAACTCTTACTAGGAAAAATTTTCATGTTCTCAGCTTCAAGATTGTTATAGATTTTTAAGACACGCTAACCATTGGAGTTGAAAGACTACCTCAAGATCCTCAATCAATAAGTGAAACAATACAACTGACTAATAATAATCCCACTTAATAGCACTAATAAAACAATTAGTTCACTTCTTGGAAAGCAATAATGCATAGATGCGAAAGAAGGTAAATCATATCTAAATATGGTACCAGTAGTATAAGCAATTGAAGGAAATTGCCAAATAAAAAATATGGAGTTCTAAATGACAAATTGAAGTGTCCAACGCTAGAGAGGAAATTGCATGAACAACAATGTCAAGTGAACAAATCAAAATTTTGACTTACATCATAAGTGTCTACAAGGGCTAAAAAGTTGGAAGGAAACGCTAGAGCATATGAGGTGAAAGCAGCTAACTCGCTTTGATTGGTTTCGCCAAAGATTCCACCTAATACAAGCGACCGCTGAACAGATTTTGAGAGTTGAGTCAGATAACATTGGAAATTTAGAGTTCCCAATATGTGAAATATATGTGCATCAAGAAGATCAAAGAAAATCTAAACACTCTTTGTGAATCACGTGAAGTTCAACTTTATCACACTTAAGCACAAGTACTATTACACATACAAAATATCTCCTAAAAGTTATATGACTTCATAAAGATTATATATATTATATTTTTTTTATATAGGTTCCTATATAAGAAAGTCAAGATTGTTATTGCCTCCGCTCGTAGCCTAGGAAGTAGGCACAAAGACACAATTATCAGAGTTACTTTATTTGTTTGCCATATCTTTGCTATATATATATATATATTATGTGCACATACTAGCACTAAAACTGTTGCATTTCAAAATGGTTAATTAGAAAATTAGGAAAGTATTTCATAATCAATCCCTGTAAATCTTTGCAAAGGATAAATATAGTGATTATGGCCCCGTTTGGTACCCATTTTTTTCAAAATGTATTTTTCTCTCTCTTTTTTTCAACCAAACATTCTTCATTAAAATAATATTACACGATTATGTGCACATACTAGCACTAAAACTGTTGCATTTCAAAATGGTTAATTAGAAAATTAGGAAAGTATTTCATAATCAATCCCTGTAAATCTTTGCAAAGGATAAATATAGTGCCGTTTGGTACCCATTTTTTTCAAAATGTATTTTTCTCTCTCTTTTTTTCAACCAAACATTCTTCATTAAAATAATATTACACGTAAATCAAAAAGATTTTCTTATTTTTTAACCACGTATTTCCCATTAATTTACTATTCCAAAATACATTTTTACATAAAAATTACTCCCAAACACCCTTTATATGTTTCCGACGTGCATTTCTCACTGACCAGGTCTGTAATGAGGGATATGTCAGGATAAGCAAAGCATTAATACTTTTAATTTTCATAGAGAATGGAAATTTTTTCAAAAGAAAAAAAGTAGGAAGAACAGATATTTCTTTTAGAGACAATAGGCATATATATGTATACAAAGATTATACAGAGATCAAGTCCTTTGTACTTGTCAAAGTTTATAAACTCCAAATTTTCATGACATTCTTTTCGAGACAGGAAATATAATTACGTTTCACTACAATAAATGAATTCTCAATTGGGTAATTGTATATAGTTAAAAGTACAAAATGGACTGAGTTTTGGCCTACATTTGGTTTTTCCATCTTTAAGTTATACCTGCCAAGGTACATACTATTGACTTCCACTCTAAAACTAAATTGGGAAATCGATGCAGAATTAAGGTGGGAATTGCTCAACTCTATTGGATTTTTTTTTGAGGCAATTCAAATTTCTTGCTATTTTGTGCCCTGCCCCAAGCATTAAGTGAACAACGGCAGTTTAGAATGGAGAAAAAGGGGAAACAAATACGGGAGGCAAATAATATCTTTCAAATAGAAATAATTTTCTGATCCTTTCTTTAACTGAATCCTTTCAATAGATGGATTTTCACCATAAATAATTGGTTTTGATAAATTTGACATCAAAACTGATATTGATCATAGCCTTGAATCAATTATTTGTTTATTTTTTTTGACAAAACAGAATTAGGTTCTTTACATTATAAATATATCACTTCTCAACTGATAAAAAACTTCATGTAAATCATACTTCGTTGTAACAAAGAAGGGGGCTAAAAGATAACATTACAAGTAGCTTGGTAAGCATCAAGAGATTTCTGTCACTAAAGAGCTCATACAGTTTATATGTGAAGGAGCTCCTTTTCAAGACATTCTAAGAGAAAATGGATAAAGTTGGGTTAATCAACACAATTTGAATGAAAGCGGACACAGAATTCATAAAATATTGAGGTAATGGATGGTTGCACTCAATGAAGAAGGTCCACTAATACTACATTATACTTCTAATAAAAAAGAGGCACTGAACATGATTACAATTGAATCACTAATGTGGATCAATGCACAAAAAGATGTGTCAAATTTAACATGCTGTGCTTAATTTTATGAGGATTTCTAGATTATGATTTATCAGCTGCCAAATGTGCAAACAAAAGGTTAGCAAAATCAGAATATTTAGAAAATTGCACGTTGAAGTATCAAATCTGAGAACTAAAGAATTTAAGTCTGACATCCTTACTATTTGATGCAACAAGGATATTAAGTTATGAGATGTTTTCCATAAACAAAGAATACGAGGGTAGAAAAGGCACAGAGAAGCAAGAAAAATAATGCATTTGAAAATCTAATATAATGAGCAAGTGAAAAGTAAAACACAAGGTAAATAAGTGGATTAAGGTTGAGAATACCTTTAATTTCCTTAACCATGTCCGAGCCAAACTAACAAAATCCTTGCAAGCATGTGAACCATCATAACTATAAAGCAATTTATCAGTGATCTCATCAGGGCTCTGCGAATCAGTGAATTAATTAAGATAATGGATAAACCATACACGAGGGAAAACAAAAACATAATGCATAGAAGAGAAAGTTCAAACTATGTGCATGTGAGTGCTAAAGAAGGGAAGGAGTATCTAGATGGATGATTAAAATACCATTCCAAGCATAAACAATCAAGAAGAGCTTTGAAACAAGCACATAAAGTAGTCCATGTCACTGGATTCAATCCAAAGCTATGTACATCGCTATCTCCGCTTTTTGTTACCAAAAATCAAGGTAATATATCAAGTACTAGGAATATATCATAAGCAGATAACAAACCCTTGCAGAATAATTACTCATTGATCTACCATGCCACAACTTCACTAAGAGTAATTATCCTTCACACAAAATGCACAAAGAACTTCAACATAGTTCTTAAGCATATTCAACCTTGTCCCAGTTTCTATCAGAAAAAACCAGAGTTTCTTTCTTCTTCCAAAAGAAATAGAGAATCACAATATCCTTCCAGCCAATGTGGTCATAGCAGTAGAGAACTTACATATTCAATTCTACATGCAGTATGCTGAAGTTCTTCGAAAAGTGAACTATCTTTCTGAGTGATAATAAAAGAAATATGCTTCAATTGAGAAGGCACTCACAAGACGATGAATAGAAGATGTACATTACTACAAACTACTTCAATAAATCTCCTGATACTCCTAAGAGGAAACTGATATGAATGGTCTGATTCTGGGGGAAAATTATGCACATACATAAATACACATGTGTAATTATACCTACCATAAATGAGTTGACAAAAGCATGGGAATGTGTTCCACGGAGTGGGATTCCAAATAATTTCCCAGCAGCAACATTGCTGTTAGCACACAACAACAAAAATAGATGAGTCTAGCTTATGCATCATGTTGATTAACAGGAAGCTAAGATATTCTCTTTCTTTTCGGTTGGGAGAGAGGGGGTGGACTTTTTAAAAAATATTGAACTACAAAATCAACTCTAAATCCAACTATAGGGCATTAAGAAACTGGATAAGTGCAACCATTAAATCCAGAAGGTCAGGGTGATTCAACAAGAAGCCCATTAAACTGGTCCTTTGAAGGTTTGACTTTGTTATTTGATCAGATAACACACCAATCTGGTGAGACCTAGCCGGCTCAAGTTTTACCTCACAATAAGGATGAAGTTTTGAATCCATGAACTNATCAGATAACACACCAATCTGGTGAGACCTAGCCGGCTCAAGTTTTACCTCACAATAAGGATGAAGTTTTGAATCCATGAACTAGCTGCTATTTCATAAAATCATGTGATGAATTTTATCAAATCCAAGACCAAGTAGAAAACTTGTTACTTAATACAAAATTATCTCAACTATTTTTCAAAAAAGAAAAATACTAGTAAGCATATTCATCCGAAAGAATTGAATGCACATAGTTTAAGCATGTTCCACCCAATATATTATAAAAATAACAACATTGTTTAGAAATTCTTTATATATGCCAAGAATTTGTACTCACACATAATGAAGTAAAAAAGAAGTAATTAGAAGTTCACTATACATTTTTGAGTAAAACTATAAATACTCTAAGAATGTGTATGTAAACAACATATACAAACTAAACCTATTTGAAATAAAGTTGGGCCTACACTCTAAGAACTTAAGTGTGAAAAACAAAGTTTTCATATAGAGGATGACAAAGCATTGCCTCTACTAATGAAGAATTACACACTTACACACATCGTACAATATATTTTGATATTGTGTATGAGTAGGTTAGTGCATAGTTACATATTTATAAAGAATTATTGCTGTGATCCATTGGTTCGATTGTGTCAACCAATGAGACAAAATGCCTTTGAAGAATTGTTAGAGAACATTCAATGAATAAAATGAAGTTTAAATTACACGTTCCACAGGAAATCACCTTGTAGCATCAAATCCACCCATGTAGCTATACTTTGATGCCCCTATACCACCATCAGGTCCCTACAAGAATGTGAAACAAACAAGATTAAAATCATATATAACAAGATAAGTCCTTCAAAGTAAAACAAACAGAAAAGACCACTTATGTGACCTGAGCCCGTCGTAGCCCAAATTCAAGAAGAAGTTTGGACTTCCCAGCAACAAAACGATGCCTTGCAGCATTTGTAGCTACCAACGATGCATAATTGATAAGATTTAGAAGTGGGGTCTCAAGCAGTTGAACCACCTTAAAAAGACAGATACAATTATCAAATATATATAGTGGAACGAAAAACCAAAGAAAGGAAAGATGCTAACCAAACAAATATATGAATCAAGTAATATTTTATTATGTTCTTAGAAGTCATATTTTTAGCATGTTATCCAATATGTTTATGATTTATGAACAAAGGGCAATTTTGGAGGTACTCACAGCTATTGGTCCTTCAACCCTCATTAAGGGTACGTTTGGAAATACAACGTATCCTTCAGAAATGGAATGTATCTCCACATTGGAACAATCCATCCCTCGAAGGTAGTTGTAGAAACCATCCTGAAGTCAAAAAACAAGTAACAATATTAGTAGAATCTATTCTATGAGCAACGCCATACATTACAGTGAAAATAAAAGGAAAATTTGTGTCTGACAAACGTTATAATAATAGCATAAGCAAGGGCATGAATACTGGAACTACCTGAAGCTTTGATGGTTATGTTATGGATATATTTATTGCTAGCAGAGTAGAATTAGGCTGCGAAGCTATCTAGTATCTACTTTTTGATTCAGGCACTTTAGATAACAAATTATGAAACATCAATCTAAACAGTTTAGTCATTACTTTACCGAAACTAATGTTTGGCTTATGATCATTTTTCTTGTTTCATATACAGTTCTCGGATAGAGAATAAAATTGAATTTGTAGTGATAGTCAGATGTTAACCAACTGATTTTTGTTAATCAAACAGGACATGAAATTTTAGATTGATCAAACTAGATTTCCTAATTAAAATTAATTAAGAAGGGGAAAAAAATCCACAAAAGGTCTTGAAGACCTGTTGAGCAATAGATCAGCAAAGTGATCCTAATCAATATAAAGTTTGATTGTTTGCAATTAAATGAGAATGGAAGTGTATGTTGTTTAGTAACTACATACTGTGTTTTCTAAGTGCAAAATCTTGATGAAAACCAGAACGTTTGTGCAATATCTTGATTGATTACTTAACACATAACCATTGACATATTAAGTGCAGCAGTATACCTCACATGACGGAGGCAAGGATGCTTGGATAAAGGCAATTTCATCCTCTGCTATTCTGAAGTTAGCAATTAATTTTATGCACTCTTCTAGACCAGCAAAAACTGTATATTCACCACCAAAGGGGTTCTTCCGAAAATACAAGTCAAACCTGAAAGATAATCACATACTAACTATGAGTTATTTTTGAAATGATAAGACCATCATATGTTTTTGTCAAACTGAAGTGGGCAGAAAAATTAAACGATCTCCTTCAGCCCTAGACTAAATGTATGTATCCAATAAGATGACGGCATCCCTACAAGGCCAAAAAGTTAAATCATTTTCTAGAAAATCACAAAAAAACACTTTTAACAAAAACTAAAAATGCCTGCACATGATAATATCAATTCATCAGAAACTTGTAAAGGGAGATTTAAGCACCTCGGGTTGTATGAATAATCGGCAGAGATGTCAATGACATGAGTGCTCCCATAAAAAATTATGGGAAAATTATTTTTTGAGATTATTAAGCCTTTTGGTACCCATTTTTTTCAAAATACTTTTTTTTTTTCAACTGCACATTCTTTATTAAAATAATATTATACGTAAATAAAAAATACTTTTCCTTATTTTTCAACCACACATTTAGCATCAATTTACTATTCAAAAATGCATTTTTATATAAAAATTGTCCCAAACACCCCCTAATTAGTTCTCATGCAAACATATTTAACTTAACAGTGTAAAAATGTTCACATAAATCCAAATACGTTCATTTTTACAACTAAGCCTTGTCATTTTTCTCATCTTTTTGTTCATTTTATATAAATTTCCAACATGAATTTGTGTCGGTCATTTGTAAAGGCATTTAATAAAAGGCTACTAACATATTAACTCTGAAATTCGAATAAGCATATCTTTCTCCATATTCAGCGATTATTCACAAAAAAAAACCGTTTTTTTTTTTAATGACCGTGGTTGTTCGGACCAACTTCCAGCACCTTGACTAATTCCATGAGGCTGCTTTGAGGAAACTCGAATCGGTGATCATTCAGAAGCAAACCCAAGGTCTGACCACACAAAACTCGTTTTGTTGGGCCAATTTTTTTTTTTTTTTCGTTTTTAGAGTATGCAGCCCGCAGCCCAGCCCAGGCCCCATTAGCCCAAAACTCTCAACCCAGTAGCCCGCCCGAACCACTAAACCCGACCCACTATCCACACTCAATTTCCCCCAAATGTCAAGTGATTCCCGTTTTCCCCCAAATCGGATTGGCAACCGGCGAAATCGAAACCCCTCCCGTCGCCACTCTCGACAGTTTACTCGTTGAATCCTTCTTCAGCTTCCAAGTTCAACCTTCAAGGCTTCAACCCTAGGTATCTCTAATGTCTCTCTCGGACTCTCTGTCTCTCTCGACTCTGGGCTCTCATAATACAAATGTATACTATACACTATACATATATGATATATACAAAGTTTTCTAGGTTATAATTGGACTCAACTGGTTCATTTTCCTTGAAAGTTCATCCGAGTTTGATTTTAAGTTAGCAAAATGAGTTGCTTGTTATTGCCTTCTGCAGAAAAATTTTCTTCCTTGTAATGCTTGTTTATAATTTCATAACTCACATTGAAATTGTTGGTGCCGAGAAGTAGATTATTGAATAGGGTATACTCATCTGTAGGTACAAACTGTAAAATATACAAGAATTTTCAAGGGATTAATGAATTTATTCTATTATTTGATTGCAAAATATGTTTTCTCTAACACGCAGGTTCTTACCAATGGCATAGAAGTAGAAGAGGTGTCACCATAGGATTGGTCGGCCCATCGATGCAGCCGTTCCGTTCATTGACCTTTGCTGCCGCCATTCGATCGAAATTCTATTCAATTCGACAAACTCCAGTCCGTGATGATTTTTACCACTATTATATATCTACTTATACAAACAAAAGCGTAATATCCGTGTATCAAAACGGTAATGGGAGGATTGATGACACCGTTAAGAACAACGAAGAAGATGCGGTTATTGTTGTCGATACAGATACTGCATCAAATATATATACACATGAGCATGTGGGGCGGGAGGCGCGGAGTTGTGGTGGGGAATTAAAAATGAGGATATGGAAGTAATAATGCATTTTATGCCGTATTTTATTGGAATCTGGGGATGTTATTATTATTATGCCAAATAAACAATTTATTAAGATTGTTTAATGAATAAATAATAAATAAAGTATTGTGAATCAAAGCGAAACAGTCAATTAGCGTACTTGAAATATTCGTCCCATGTTTTCAATTATAATGAATTAAAAATGGTACTCTTCAAAATAGTTGACAGTTAGAATCCATGATGCTTTACAATTTCTAACATGTTCCTAGTGTTTGTCAATAAATTGGGAAAGTTTCAAACGTTGGCTTTAATTTAGCGTTCAAGTAGCAAGTTGATTCCATCCTTAACGAATGAGCAAATGAATTCTTGATCATTTGCATAATAAGAGCCTGTTTGGGAATGATTTTGAGAATTGATTTTTTGACCGTCAGGGGAAAAGTGGGGTTCATCTGTGAGAAAAGAAGTCAAATATAACGACTGAAATAGTGAAATAACGGGTAAAAAATCAATTTTTTGGAGCAAAAAATCACTCCCAAACAAGCTGTAAGTTTTATAGAAATTCATCCAAATCTTTGTTATATCATCATGTGATTTCTCGTCGAAACATATCTCACTTTAAATATTTATCCCTTCCCTTTATCCAAATTGAGAAACAAAATCAAATTTTGAACGTCGAACGACAATTAGGGTTCAAATTTATGACCATTGAACAAATAAATTCTAATTTATGACCATTGAACAAACAATTAATGACGTTGAATTAGGACCATGGACAACAATTCGGTGGACAGTGGACACGGCAGACACAAGTCCCTTTTTGTTGAATGCGAGTCATGCTTGAATTGCCGTGTTCAAGTTTTCATTGAACACTAGGAACGAGATTTCAAAGCTAATAATTTAAGGGTCCGTTTTATTTCAAAGGTAGAAAAGACAAATTAATTCTATGTAAGTTGAAAAAGAAAAACCATCAAAATCATATAAATTCGATTTTCATGAAATTGATAACAAAACATGCTTTAAGTGTTTGGAATTCGAACTCCATTTTCACTTTCATATCAAACAACCAAAGTAAACGAATTTCTCGGAGATGACATTTTCCATGGAATTCATCTCAATCAAATGGAGAGGAAAACTAGCATAAAGTTTGAATGAATTAGTGCATTTTAATAATGGAGTTTCCAAATTTTGTCTTGTGGTACCAAAAATGATAGCCAATATAACTGATTCATTGTCTGAACGTTTTTATCGCTGAAAGACCAAAAGACAGGAGATGCCAAAATTATGAGTGGACAGTTTGTCACCATGCATTAGAATACACAGAAATTAGGATAGTAGGAAGTTTGTTCTTTGACGTGACACTACAATCAGCATATACTCGACTGGCAGCAGCATTGGTTCTATGAAGGTCCGTGCTAGTTCACAATTCAAGCAGCATATGGTTGTGAACCTGTATAATATGCACATGTTCTTCCTTTCCTGAGTGATGCTAAAAGCGAGAACAGAGATTCATATCAGAATGTTTATTTCGTGGTTCTTATTCCAATGTGTATTATTCAAAGTGTGTATCTGTATTTCTAATAAACTACTGGTTTTCGACTCAGAGACTGCAGCTTTCCTTGTATGCATAAATACAATTATATGAGACCCAGCTTTTTAGCTCAAACTACAAGGAATAACCTATATAAAAGTCCGGTCAAAGAGTAATGTTATTTGCAGTCGCTCACTGTCGTAGTCGTCATATGTGGTAGATATGTGATGGTTAGTGATTTAATGCATTAATGTGGTAGTTTTTTCTTGCTTTATGAATTAAATCACTAGCCGCCACATGTATGCCGCGTAAGGCGACTGCGATGGTGAAGGACTGAAAATAACATAATTCCTAGGTCGAATCATTGAGGATAACAAAATTGAATCATACTTCATATTGGACATGGGCTGGTACTTCACTATTAATTGAACTCCAGCTAATGTTAATAGGCTGGACGTTCATTTGGGCCTCAAAGTTAATCCGGTCTTTTTTGAATGACCCAAGTTAAAAACGTGTTGTTGGTTAACACGATTATGACCTTTTGTTTTCTGATTAATCTTAGACCATTCAATTGACTTATTCCCAGCCGTTGGATCAATGTGATTTGTGATGAAATATAAATAGCAGCCTCTTTCTCTCACTTCCTGACGATTTGAGTGTTACTGTCTCTAGAAGCATCTAGGGTTCTTCCTGTTTCTTGAGGGTTTTCTTCGATCTGTTTACTGTGTGTTATTTTCTCTTAAATCTCTGTGTGAAGATTAAGAAGATTGTATTTGTAAGCAATCCCAGAAAAAGCAGATTGTGAGTTCACTGTGTTGTATTTTGAAAAGAGAGGCGAGAGAAAATATTGAAGGAACTTGAGTTTCCTTCATACATTTGTACTATTCTTGAGAAATTTCTTAGTGGATCGAGCAATATCTACTTGTAGATGCTCAATGGGTGAATAAGCTTTAAGCTAAACACCCGGGCCTTCGTGACGAAAAATCTCTTGTGTTCGTCTTCATTTTCAGTTTTTTGTACTCTAAATCGTTTGATATTCAATTCTCAAACCAACACTTCATGTACAAACTTTTTTTATCAACTCCTTTACTGCTTACAATGGGAATGGGGACCACAAGCCGATATTTTTTAAATTTACATGGAGTCCGCTAATTTTGTGAGTGAGTACACCATTTTCTCAACAAAATTTTGTACAAATATCTTTATCCAACAAAATTAACTATCCAGAGAATCAAAATGTACAACTGCTTGAAAAAGCATCATTAATTTGATAAGTTAGCTCCACCGAAATCCAAAATTCATATTCCGTTGCTTTAAATTTTGATATCATCATTAGACGCTCTCGCTCCAATTTGTCTTCCCATAACAGCGGTAAAACTCAAATAACTAGTAAAGTGAGAAGGCAACAGGAACACTTGATACGAAAGAGAAATTACCCATTAAACTGCGGTGAAAGATTTGGATTGCGGTCCAAATTTTGTTGCATGCCTTCACGCTGTTCTCCTCCGATGAAGCATGCTTCCAGAGTATTTTCGTTAAAGTCAGATGGTCGAGTGTCAAAAGGAACTGAATATGCTTTCACTCCTTCACTGTAGTCTTTTATGTGTAAAGATAAATAGTTAGGACAAGTACGAGCAGTTCTTGTTTACTTTTACATTCTCGTCTCAGGCCAGCACAGAAGCCAGACTTGATAAAAACATTTTGTGGAATTGAAATTATGTTAGATAAAAGATTTACCTCTGAAACCAGTCCCAGAAGAGTTCCCATTAACTTGATGAAGAGGCAAATCCTCGTCCCTGCACATTCCCTTCAAATAGCTTAAAGATTATAATTTTTTTTGCAATTATAAAACTCAGTATCCTATTAAGACAAAAGACATGACAGTAAATTACTTTCGAAGATCTGGAGAACTGGAAGGGTCCGAGTTGAGTCGGGATTGATGCCAATCCAAATGAAGTTTTTGAACCCATCATGGTTGAGAAATCCGCAGCTGATGCGTGCATAGGACTATTATCCAGTAGATTGAATAGGGCATTTGATGAGTTATCTTGATTCAAAGGATGTTCACTTTCCATGTTCACGTTTAGGGGTCCATTCCCCGGGTGAATACCCATTCTCATCTGAGAAATTTGGTCACGCCGTGGCATCCAGGGGAGGGACACGGGATAAAGGCTTACTCCGTTTCTCATTGTTAGCATCTGTAAAATTTAGTCTATGTAAGATGCATGATTTTAACAACAATGATATGCAAAATCCATAGCCTTCAGACTGAAAGGTACCATGAGAGGCTTGGACAATTTATCTATTAATTTGAACCTAAAAATAATACAAAAACGAAAGAACAAATGTGGGTTACCAAGAAGGCCTACATAGACCAGGCAACCAAGAGAATATAATGATCCTGAAGTTATAAAACATCTCGATTAAAATATTCAAGAAGATGAAGTTATTGGCAACCCAGTGCAGCACACAGTACTAGAATAATGCAAGCATCAGTGCATCAGAGAAAGTATCGATAAATATAAAATATGCCAGAGAATGGGACCATGAAAGTAACAGAAACGAAGAGGAAAACAAGAGAAATTAGGGCATTCTACAGGAATTAATTTCCATAATGTATGTGATATATAAGCCCAGTTAACTAAAATGAAGAGAGAACAACTTCTCTAGGAAATACATATTCAAGCAGACTTCCAAATAATCAATCCATTTCCTATCAATTTCATGGGTTACTCATCAATAGCTCGAAGGAAAATTTAACTACAAACCATGAAAGTAAAATATGCAAGAGTCATTTTGATTAAGTGATAAAATGAGGAAATTGAATTTCATTTTAACTCCTAGTTTGTGGACATAATGGTCAGGTCTGAACTTGGAAAAATTTCTTAGAATCTTGAGAATAATCGACTCTAGAATGTCAAGGCTATGCAACTTCTAATCTGAAAAGTGTTAAGAAGAGAATTGTGGACTACGACAGTAATTTCCACTTATCATTTTCTCCTCTACATGTAGAAACTGATAGACATTTGGAAGATGACCTTGCAATCATCCAAAATAGTAAAAACTGAGAAAAAGGCAATTTGAGCGTGTTTATCAATAATAACTTGATACGATTGGAAAATATAAAATTGTCGAAACTTATGGTTCACATATTCAGTATAAAAATACGATGGGCAAAGTTCTTGATTCAGTCCTTATTTTTCCAGGCAATAATTCTGAATTATCAGAAACCGTCTTCTGACAGCTGGTTTTAGCTAGCTGCATCATTTATGAAGCAAGAAACTTAAAAGAAAAAGGCGAGAAGCTTAATAATTGCCTAATCAAGTGGTCCTTTCTTGGAAAGATCACCATAATGAAGCTTTCCAAAAGTGCTGAATGAGTAATGTGAACCATTAAGATCAGAGCATGGAAGCAACATTTTTCTGGGAAGATTGTTGGAACTAAGTGATTATCTATTCTATTATAGCCATTAAGGAGGCATGTGCCGCACCTACATAGTATTAGACTATACTAACTCGACTCAGCTGCATAATAGATAAAATTTTGAGTTCTTTTTCTTCCACAATATTGTATCAAAAATGCCATAAGTAGATCAGCAACAAGACAATTAATCACTCAAAACACAATTGATCAAACCATGAATAGCCTGCCAATAAAATTATCAAACCAACAAGTGCACTGCAAAAGCATATGCAGATGGAAAATTTAGCAATAATCCTTGTAACGTATTGAATTTCCAAGCTTTGACCGTTACAATTTATTACAAGGCAAGACTTCTACAAGGCAAGACTTCTATCGTTTTCTATTATTTTCTACAAAACAGAATAAAGTGCAAACCTGTACTTGAAGTTGGAGCTGCTTGAGGTACTCAATTGCTTCATCAAGCATTGAAGCCTTGTCCGTCTAACACGATTGCAAGAGACGAACATTTGAAAATAACAAAGTAAACCTCATTAAATTTAATGAAATCAACATTAAAACTATACACTAAAAAGGAAAATAAAACAATTTATGGTTTCTACCTTGTTTGAATTTGGAATTAGATTTTGCAGCGACTTCATTTTTTCATTAATCCTGCTTCTTCTCCTCTACCAAATGCATCCCATAATATCAAAACACAGAATTCATTTCAGGAATATCTACGTACAAACTCCAAAATGAAATTTTAAAAAATAATAATAATAATAAAATAAATTAAGCTAAAAAATTTTGTCCATTAAAAAGAACCTTTTCAGACATATTATGCACTTCAGCTGCTCGAGTTCTCTTGAATGAGTTCCGGCGTGGTGTTGGCTTTGGCATTGCCTCTTCTACCAAGGCTTCAATTGCCTCCTACATATGATAACTATGAAATTAAACTCCTCAAAGGGGAAAAAAAATGTGTACAAAATCATGAATGGATGCAGAAATTTATGCTCACAAATGTAATTGTAACATTGTACCAACTACCACAACCCACAAGACCTCGGTAAGCCATTATACAAAACAAGATGAATAAGCTCCAACATAAATTTTTTAAACTATAACTAATTAAGTACCTTGCTTTCACAATCATGCTCATATTTATCAGGGTCATTATCCACTGTCCCAACAGAAGAAGACGACACATTCGCCACTGCCCTCGTCGGAAAATACCCACCGGAGGACGATTTCAACGCTGAAGATGATTCCAGCAAAGAGATCCGACCCGAACCTGGGACAGTTGGCGGAACATAATCATGGGTTGTAGCAAAAGACTGCTGCTGCATGAGAGTTGGAGAAGAAAAGGAAGAAGGAGGGAGAAATTTCTGGAGAAAGAAGGAAATGTCATCGGTCTCTACAGGTGAAGAAGATGAGGAACCATTGTTCGTAGTTGCGTATATATTTGCCATTGATACGAATTGAAAACATATAATTAGCTTAAACAAGAGATGAAAAAAAGCAGAGTTCAAAAGAGGACGTTTTTTTTTTCTGGTTTCATCTCTTCGACTCTGCATAAGTAATATAGATTCAACCCCGTCTCAACAGGCGGAGATCACTCTTTGAAGTGGTGCTGAAACGGTTTGATATCCCATCATCTAAATTACAAACAATCCTTCATTTTGTATTTTGAAGGTATAATTTACGATTTACCTCCCTCACAATGCTCCAAGACAGGGGTCATGGGGGACCCTTAAAGTTGAGATTCAAACTTTAGAGTGACTAAATTAGAGTTGGTTCGAGTATAAGATCAATAATTATTTTAATCCGTCGATTATCACAAATGGTAGTTCAGTCACAAATGTACTATTTTTGTTTTAATTATTGTTTAAAAGATCCTATTACAGAGCCCCTAAGTTATTTCAACATCCTCTAATTAAATTATTTGGAGTATATCGAATTTACGTCAATTATGCAGAAAGAGGCTTGTATGGTTGCCTCTATAGGAAAAGAGTACGATAAGAGTAATATGTTTGATTCACTAGTTCTAATGAAATGTCACTTTTGGAATATTAAATACCAATCAACTAATCAAAATAGCTATGGATATGGAAGGGGACCGAAATGAAATAGACTAGCTTGCTTTTTTAATTATTTTGTGTAGAGTGGGGAGAATCATAGTTCAAGGATGGATGGCCAGTTGCATTCAAAGTTGCAATCCTTTCGATTTCAATTATGTGACACAAGCATTGTTGCACGATTGAAATACTTCAATGACTTTTGAAAAATTACTTCAAATATAGCGTGCATTATCTAAATATATAATAATTTATTAATAGACCATAACTTAAAGCCGATAACGTTAAATAAAAGAAACTTGGAAGTCGATTATAAATCAACACACTTCTATGGATAAAATCATTTTTTTTTCTTATGTATCATACACGTTCACATTGAAAATGGCTGAAGTGGAACAGTCATAAATAATTGAAGTCTAGAAATATTTACACATTATACCATGAACAGGATAGGCAAAATTCATTATACGAGGTTCATATTATTGCTTGTTTGGAATTATGATTTAAACATCGACGAATAGACATAAAAACTTGTCTACTTTCCACACACAAAGAATGAATGAGATTTACTATCAAATAATTTATTTCTATTGCCATATTCTATTATTAGCCTCGACTAAAATGAAAAAAAAAAAAAATGAGCTATCCCAAACAATCAACTCTTAAATTTACAATAGATTACTTCAAATTCAGTGTAAGTTTGACACACATTTAATTTATAAACTTAATTGGTCAAAACTATTTTTTATCTACACATTTTATGAGTTCTATTTACTTATTTATTATTTATTTCTATTTATTTATAATTTAAATTAATCAAAATCACACTCAAACATGCATGAAGCCTAGGGTTTTTGGATAATTGACGTGTCGATATGGTAATTAATTGGGTTATTGAAATTTGTGATCTTGGACCACCCTATCATTGAATCTGACGGTGAAGGATTGTTCATAAGTCAATTTTTGAGCTGATCAAGTACCATTAACTGGGATGATGGGAAATTGTAGATTTTCAGTGATGGAGTTGGTGAGTTTTGACTTTGGTATTTCCGATTTGGCTTATCAATTTAATTTTTTGTTTTTGAAATGTACTAACAAAGAAATGTCTTGTCTCTTGATCACGAGGATTTTGCAAAATAAAAACTAGGACACTATCAACATTATGAAACTTAACCAAATGAACCTTTTTATGTAAACGAAAAATGACTTTTTATCTGAGAGGTATAAAAAAAAATTATATATTATTTTATTTCCTGAGTTCTATATGCAACGTTCGCTTCAACTCGGGGCATGCAAAAACGTATTATTTAATCAAAGTTATCGATAGTCTCGACAATATTAATTTATTGGATTTTTGTTTTAAATAAAAATAAAAATCAGAATATATATAAATCGTGAAAATGGATGAAAAATTATTTAATTATTTATAAGGGAAAAAAGTCACAACTCAATGATTTAGTATATAACGAATCACGAGTCAGGTGTATATATCTATATACACACACCCCTTACAATATAAATCCACATCCCAAAATTAAAAATTCAATTGGAATATAAATTTTTACGGCAAATAACCTCTTTCAGTCGATGGAGAAGACAAAGCAGGTAATCGGGTCGATTGATTTTGATCACAAATTGGATGATTTCATCCCACACTAATATTCACGTTATAGATTTTCAAATCGATTTGATAAACTGAAAATAATAGTCAGAGAAGACACTATAGGTAATAATCCGATTATTTTGGCCGTCACTTCTGATTTTGTATTCACGAATTGAATGTTATAATCATGAATTAATTATACAGTCACATTTTAATATAATATAGGTAACCGCTTCAATTGTTTCGGTCACAAATGAATGCTCTAGTCACGAATGTCTTTGTCGTCACAGATTCATCATAAAACTGTAATTTACCTATCACAAAAATTTTGATAAGCACAAGATAGATTTTTAAGGTAACTATTCCAAATATTACCTGCTTTTTGTATATGTGACTCATGCGTGTACTGTATGTAATGGAATATGAAAGATAAAAATGAGAATTATATAGAATTAACTACGACCTATGTTTCACCCATTGTGACATTCGTTTTGGTCATACGTGATTTGCTTTGAAAATGTGACCTGTATTTTAATATTATCATTCCTATATGAAATCTATGAATTGTATTACTTTCATCACGTGGCCAATATGCATATTAATTTTACTTCGACATTGATTACCATTTTTTCACATTTCGATTTTGCCATTTTACTTCGATTACCAAATTTTTATTTTTCAAAAGATAATGGACGATATAATGAATGAAAGAGATACTGAATAGAATGGATAATTTTGATAATATAGAGATGTGACAAACAAAATGCATTTGAAATGGTCGGAATGGGAAGCAACTAAACGGAGATATTGTGAGTCGTGGGGAAAGAGTTTGAGAGAGTGGATTTAGATAATAATGAAAATTAGGATAATGAGTAGTTTAAATTACGATATTTAAGAGAACGCGTCATATGTATTTGCTATGCATATTATTTAATTATCAGCCATAATTAAAATTATTAACACAATACCTGAATTCTGGTTAAAAACCTTTCTCACTTGATTTTTGCACTGGGAACTTGAAACGTCCGAAGCTATGTAATTTTTACTATTTATAACTAGGTGATAGTGTCATTATAACCCCATCCAAACTATTGGGCCACGAGTAAGGCCCACCACTTGACAAGTGGTCACTGGAATATAAACACCTTCATAGATACGTTAAAGTGGAAATTACACAATTTTATACTTTAAAAATTCATAATTCTAAAATAAGATAAGTAGTTTAATCTTTCAAAAATCAAAGATTTTATTTTAATTAATATTTTTACTAGACATATATACTCCATTATATTATACAGAAACCCTAATTAATTCCAAAAATTCTCTCTCTCTACTTTCTCTCTCATCTCACTCGCTCTCTCCATTTCTCTTTCATCTCACCTCTCAACTGCCGAATATCAACAAGGGAAATAAAAAGTGAATCCCGGCGTCGGAGTGAAGCCAATTGAAGCCATGTCACCCTCACCATTCTCTACTCCAACGATGCCAACGACTCTCCCTCTCCTCTTCTCTCCTATTTTTGCAGCAAATCCACTGAGTTGTGTGGTGGCGGTGTAACATTGGTAGTTGTGGTGATTCAAAGGGATGGCTGTGGTTTGTTTGAAGTGTTGCGGTGGGTTGTTTGAGGTATTGTCGTGGTGTCTAATCTGGCGGTCGAGGTGGCTATGGTGGTGTGTGAGCGTCGTCGGAGGCTTGCAGATCGCGATGGACAACTGCAGATCCTGGGGTTGATGACGCAAATTGTGGCGGTGATGACGCAGATCGTAGCTATGGCGGTGTAGATCGTGGTATTGATTTTTTCTCTTGGTTGTTGGATGCGGTGCAGGCGATGACAGCATGGTGTTGGTGACGACAACGTTGGTGCTAATCGGGTAGATCAGTAATGTCTATAACCAGTAAATTGCTTGACTCCGTTGTGGTGGTTGTGGAAATGGGTGACGTTGGCAGTGCTGGCTGTGGCGTTTGTGGTGGTGATTTAAGGAAATGGGCAAATGCGATTTGGGGTGGGTTTTGTTGGCTGCGATGGCAGCGGTGGTGGTGGTGCTGAAAATTGTAACTGTACCTGTGACTCTCAATTGTGACTCGTAATTGGATATGTGACTTGAAAATTGTGACTATGACTCCCAATTGTGACTCACAATTAGTGATGGCAACGGGGCGGGGCAATTTTCTTGCCCCGTTTCTTGCACCGTTTAACTTTTTATTTTAATTTCGAATTTAATAAAATACGGAAAACATTCAAGTTGAACTTTTAATAAAGAATGCTCTTACTTTATGTAAATTTAAGTTTTTGTTTTGGGATAAAATTACTTATAGTGTAAAATGATTTTTAGAGAATGTGTGAATAAAAAGTATGAAAAAATTATAACTCTACATGTAAATTATGTTATTAAAAAAATTGTGATAGAAAATAAGTTTAAATAAAAAGCGATTTTGAAATATGTTGCATAGATGAACTCTATAAAAAATAAATAAAAATTTCACGGGACGGGTTCGTGGCAGGGCGAGGACGCCCCGTGCCCCGCGACGGGGCGACCATTTATGCCCCGCCCCACGACGGGGCGGGACGGGGCAAATTGTTACCACTACTCACAATTGATTAAGTTGTGATCGAAAAATTAATCGTGATCAATTAATTCAATAATTTACAATGAGTAAATGAATTGTGACCAATAAAAGTTTTGAATATGTGACCGACGAATAATCTGTGACCTGTAAAATTTTTGGATTCTCGATCGAAATATATTTTGTGACCTATAAAATTTCGATCTGTGATCGTGAAATAAGTTACGACCAATAATTTGATAAGCTGTGACTAAAAATTAATCTGATATATGATCGATGAATAACCCGTGACCTGTAAAATTTTTGAATTCGTGATCAAAAAATATTCTGTGACCTATAAAATTTTCGATCTGTGACCGAGTAATAAGTTACGACCACAAATTTGATAAGTTGTGACCAAAAATTAAACTGTGACTACTTAATTAGATGATTGTGACAAAAAACTGTGACCTAAATATATTAAATTAATAAAATAATTAAATCTTAAATAAGTTTTAATAAAAATCTGAGTTTTGAATTTTGAAACTTGTTTTCTTTATTTTGAAATCTACCATACTTAATCTGAAATTTTCCCTATGTTAAATTTGACAATGCAAAAGATATACAAGAACCAAGACGAAGCAAAAACAAATCATGACACTACATTAGCAAAAAGACATTAACTTTTCCATTTCTGCATTAGTGTTTGCCCTATTAAGAACCATGAACAGAAGCGAAAGCCTTGACCTTGGAATCAAGGTTTCCAAAAAAAAAAAAAAAAAGAAATGACTGTAACCACGGAAAAATTTCGACATGAAGATGCCTCGTTTACCAATACTATGTGCTCCAGAATCTTGCGAGGTGAAAGGGATTCAGTTGGAAAATTCCAGTGAAATAATGAGATCATCAATATATAAAAAGAAAGAATACAATTAAACTTCCCATAAGCAAATATGAAAATTGCCTGCTCTAAAGGGAATAATATGGAAAAAGAAATGATATGATATTATCCATTAATGGATATTTTTACTTCCACGATTAAAAAAAATAATAATAAATAAATATAAATAAAAAAAATTTATCCAAACATATTTGAAAGCCAAATATTACAACTTCAAGCTTAGCCAAAAATGATCTGAAATATTATCTCAAGATGAACAAAACATAGATATATCAGGCATGCATGTCAATTTGTTTACGTATACAAACTTAACATGTTTTCACTTTTCATACACCAACAAAGAAAAAGAGAGCTCAAAGTCATATCAAGATTTTACACACTATAAATTATAAATAAGGCTTACAAAAAACAGATGATAAGTTGAAGTTTCATGGCGGAATTGTATCAATGTTCAAAATCAAAACTTCCTTGTCTAGTTATTGTCATCAATAGAAAATATCTAACCAAAATCTCATTGCAGAACAGATAGATTTCTCTATCAATAGAAAATTTGCATTTTGGTAATATGTTGAATCCTGAAAATTCCTTTTCAATTTGCCAAGCCAGTCCTTTTGCACATGGGGCAGGTATTTTTCTGCATGAGCCACTTCTTGATGCAGTCATGGTGAAATTTGTGGCAACAGTCCAGTTCCCCGATATCCTGACCCTCGATGTATTCATCCTGTATTAAATAATAAAGTATTGAAGTCTAAATTATACATACAAGCAAGATAGTAATTATGACATTAAGACTTGAGGCTTTTGCGTCAACATATTACGCAATTCTTACCAAACATATACAACAGAGGTCCTCTTTTGGAGAAGATGATAGGAAAGCAATGTGCCGGTACCATTTTAAGCGCCAGAAAATTTCCTCCTCTCTCAATCCAGTGCTAACACTTCCAATTTGCTCTTCGAGGGCCAATAATTCCTGTAGTATGAACCACTATTAATGAGGAAAGTTTCATGATTACAATTGAAAATGTACTAAGAGCGTGTTTCATTGTGCTTAAAAGTCAAAAACTTACTTTCGGTAATTTATTTTGCCAAACATGATTTTCAAAGTTACTTTTTTTACTGATAAAACTTCAATCATGCTTGGTGTACAATGTTATTGACAACATTACATGGCATGTTGTCATTGGACAATTTAAAAAACAATTTATCTTTCCAACCGACACTTCTTTAATACCGACAATGACAATGTTGTCAAAAAACATTGTACAAACAGCATTATCCATAAAACTAAGATTTTTAGAAACTAAGCTCTTACTTTCTAGAAAAGAAACATTTTAGGAACAAACAAACATGCCCAGTTCAGTCAATTGTCTGGTACCTCATAAGACATATCATCTACATCAAGCTCCATATCTTCGTTCATGTCATAATCTTCTAACTCATAATGATCCTCTTCGAATGTTGAATTGTCAACATTTACACGCACAACCTCATCTCTTGCTTCTTCCTCCTGAAAAGTTAATTTAGGGTTTCTCAAATCCTGGAAAGCTAACATCATTATTAATATGTCAGATTAGAGAAAGACCTGACACCTGTGAAGGATGCTCAGTTGCATCAAGATCTATCTCTGCATACGCATCATCTTCCCCCTGAACCATTTTCAACTATCAATTGTAATATATGGAATAGAAAAGGATGTATGCGATAGATAAACTGAGGACAACTTATGAAAACAGAAGAGGGCACATCTGACAGGTTTTTTTCCAATGCCTTATTAATGATTTTTTTACCGAAAATATGTATCCTGATCCCTTGCGTTCCCACTAAAGAGACATGCCTGAGATGCTATTTTGGAGAGTATTTCTATTTCTATTAATTGGCACAATGCTTTAGAAGTGTTGATTGTTAGATAAGTGGTTTAACGAAGAGAATTATGTCAGACTAACAAAATTTCAATTCAGAAAAATGCAAAATGGTGAAGTATATTGTGTCTTTCTACTAGAAACCACATAATCTAACTGGTGAACATGTAAATGAAGAGATGCAAAGAGGTATATTTGCAAGCTATTCCATTTTTTTTTAATGGCGTAACCTCAACCCTGAATGAGTTCCCTTCATTATATACTACCAATTCGAACTTAAATATATCTCAATAACATCAGCTGTCCTCGCCGGGATAAACACTAAGTGCAAATTTGGAAAGCAGAACAGGACAAGTTTAGACAAGTGTAATGAACAAGATTTTAGCTTATTTTCTTCACCACTACAGTATTGAATAAATGCATGAGAAAACATACTAACATCAGTGATTAGATTCTCTCCTGCAGTGAAAGTTTCCTGTGTCTCAAGGAAAAATGGCGGAAAATAGACTTCAAAACCCTCACTATTTGTGTGACCTCCTTCCAAAAAAACTTCAGCAGATCTCGCAACCCCTACTCTCGTTTCTAGCATCTCTGTTGAGGCCATACCCTCGCTTGCATGAACCACGTCATCATGAAACTGAATTTCGTGATTGTTGCCTCTCGACCTGATGGATTCATCGTCGACATTCGGAAAACCATCTCCATATTCCTCCATGCTATGAATAGGCAAAGCAGGACACTGCAGGTCCCTAAGAGCAGCCTCAACATGATCAATCGTCAACCAAGACGTCCAATAGGATGAGGCTGGATACAGTGCAGCAGAAACCTCAAAAAGATTTGAGCTTGTTGGTACATTATCCAAACGATTTTCTGTTCTGCTAACATGGATATCTCTGGAACTCCCGTCCATGTGACTTGCTAAGCTTGAAGTTTCTTGCACAGCAATTCCCCCATTAATTCTGTTTCCAAATATAAGGTGCTCAGTGTTTATAGGATTATTGTTTGGATAGCTACTTGAGGACCCAAAAAAGTTCCTGCTCCAAGGAAAAGTACCTTGAGCAGAATTTATTTCTTGGATATAATTTTCAGCACCAAGAGTAAACATGTCGTCTGTTTGCTGATGTTGATCCCAAGAAAGTCCACCAGGTGTCACTAGCACCCTCCTGCCAAATAGCTTGAAATGTGAAGGTTCGCGTTCCGATCCAAATTCCCTATCTATTTCCAAGCCTCCAGAATTGTCATTATTTGTTTCATTCAAATTTATCATTTGCTGTGGCAATTCAGAAATTGGAGCATTCAAATCTATCGTCACAGGTCTGTTACCACGATAGCCTGATGAAATATCTAGAGCATCAGAACTGCAGGCATTGAACATCTGATGAGGATAAAAATTAACAGGGTAAATGTTGCGACTGTTTTGACCTTCCATCAAGCTTGATTTTGAATCCTGTGCAGGCAAATATGAAATCCAAAAAACGTACAAAGACTTCTCCGCAAGATTGAACCTGCACAATAATGTTAAACTCAATAAGAATTATTCGTGTTAGAAAAAAAAGGTAGAAATAAAAGTGATATCGAGGCTTTGCATTCTCATCTCAACTCCTCAACTCTATTCTTTCCCAAGATAAATAAATAAATAAATGAAGAAAACCAGAAAATATGGTGAAAATGTAAAAGAACAACATTAAAATTATGTGGACAAACAAAGTGAAGATACCAGGTGCACGAACACGTGTGTACATGTACGTGTATATTACTATATGCACAATAATATATGCAGATGTGTGCATGGGAAAAAGGGTGCATGACTGGAATCACAGATGCTTGAGAATAAAGAAATCTATTAATAAATATTTTGAAAGAGATCACAGTGTAGGTCATTATATGGCATGAAAGCCAAATACACAATTTCCCGCATAAGTTTGAAACAACCACGTGAATGAAATTGTTTCATTACTAAGGAGAAATAACAGAAATAAGTATTAATCAAGAAAGTAAATGAATATAAGACCAAATTTTAGGCTAAGAATGCATTTTGGAATAGTAAATTGATGGGGAATGTGTGGTTTAAAAATAAGAAAAAATTTAAGATTTACGTGAAATATTATTTTATCGAAGACTGTGTGGCTCAAAAGAAGAGAGAAAAATTTAATTTGGAAATAATAGGGAGCAAACATGGGCTTCAAATCGACGAGGAAAAAGCTCACCACCAACCCCCCAAAAAAAATATTGGTTTCCCTAGCTTTTCATGGGTTTCTTCACGGATAAAAATGGATGGCACTTTCAATTACTATAAAGATGTGATGGTTAATGGACACAACTAACTTGTAAATTAGAGAGACACTATTCAATATAAGAATTTTTCCAAATGAAATCTATTTTTATACATGTGTACAATGACATTCAAAACGTGTACTTAGAAAACGGTCTCAAACAATTTTGCCAACTGATCAAATAAATGAATAATGATAATGAGCAAGAAGTTGATGACGTGGTTTTTTTGATAATTATATATACTATCACAAAAAATTTCATCTATTCTTGAAATCGCATATTTATAACTGCCACGTGCAGAGCACACATCTAAAAGATGATTAGAAGAATATATTGAACTCAAATGAATATTAAATGCAATAAATATTAATGATCACATTCATCAAGAACACAAATCTTTCCATCTATCACTTCTCTACTGAAAAAGGCAAATTGATAAAAATAAAATGGAATCTAACACCAAGTGCTGAATCTTTGAAACATAAAGATAACATGGAATAAGTACGGTCTTTTATATAATCTTACAAACATGGTTTTAAATTTCCGCATTAAAGAAGGAAAATGAAAAGAAAAGCCAATGTAAAAACTCAGAATCTCAGCTCCACAACACGAGAAAGAGAAATGGACATGTTTTCCTGAACAATGTCTTATTTTCGTAGAAGAGTAAATTCAAAAAATAAATGCGTCACTCTCTAACACAAAGTGCCATTTTTACATCTCACAAAGAAATGAGCCGTTTGAGGGCATTCTAGTGTCAGAGAACATAGAGCATGATACTCTCACATAAAGCACGATACTCTCACAAACTGAATTGCAAAGCTTGGTAGCCTATCTGTGGTTTAAATAATTCATTTCTCCCCAGCACTACATCAATATGTTCCGGTTCCCACCCCACCGTCTGAACCCGTCTCCTCAATTTCCAGGTCAATATATAAAGTAGTTATTGGCGCTGCACGTGATGATAAAAATAAGGTTATTAATGTCGACGCACTGTTTGAGCTAAATAGACTTCTTCAATCGTCTTCTTCAAGCCCCATAACCCAAACCCACACAACCCCTGAAGATCTTTATCCGTGTTTAGTCTCTTCCATTTATCTTTAAAATTGCAGCATTTTCGGCCTGAAAAATTACCCAAACTAGACCCACCCTCCTGCAAACCCCAATAACCATACTCGTTTTGCACAAAAATCAATTCCAGTGAACTCGGAGAAAGAATTTAGGTGGAGCTTTAGAGTCGCAGTAGATTCAAACGGATATAATTCGATTAAAATGAAAACACTGGAGAGAAAGAATAGCTTACTTCACTGTGAATTCTCCCGTAAAGACTGAAAGCTGCTACTTGCTCCCTTCCTCCCTCGATGCAGTCGCCTCCGCACAAAAGAAATTGAATAAAAATGGATTAGGGCTTAACCAGGTGTCTGTGGGCGGATTAGGGTGGAAAAGAAAATGAATTTATAGGGGCTGAACACTGAAGAATTGAAGATTTACAGAATCTGATGAGGCATACAATTAATGCACATTTCATTAACAAACAGCGTCCAATTGGATTCCTAATTAAAGCTTCCTCGTTCAACCTAAAATTCCCTTTCTTGGTCTGAAGAGCGGATAATATTGTGTATTTCTTCACCATATTCATCTTCAAAATTGCATCTCCGGATCTCCTCACAGGTTTTAAGAATTGCGAATTGCTTTTCTTTTCCCCTCACACTTCCTTTACCGATATAAGGTCTCGTCTCCTCTATTTCTTCAGTGAACCCCTTTTTCGACGTTCTATACTCTATTAACAGTACAATTTTAATTATGGTAATTAATTACTTTTACGTGGAAAGAATTATTAAGATTAGGCTAATAACTTTTTTCTTGTTTTGCTCTGTGAAGCTACTTGGTGCTATCAAAAATTTTACCTGATTGAGGATGAACCTGAACGACTTCTTTCGATACTTGAAACAAAGGCAACGAGACGAAATCTCATCGTCCCTCTAATGCTTAAGTTAGCGAGAGGGGAACAATATACGCGTTATGCTATAAATTGAATGTAAAAGTGTACCTCAATATTAAATTCTGGTCATATATTTATAGATGTTGGTAGTAGAGTTGTAAAAGAATTCAACTACCTGTAGCCCTTATTCTTATCATGCAAAGTTTTTGTGTTATATTGAAAATATTCTGTTTGAGTTTGAATCAAACCGTGATAGGTAAACAATGAGGATAAAGGTTATGGAGAATTATAATCGAAGTAGGATTAATATTTTCTAAAAAGTGTGAGATAAGGATTATATTCCATGATGTATGGCCCGGCCTGAATAGGTCCGACCTTAGCATGGGTAAATGTGGGAGGACAAGATCGAGCTATTGACTTCGAGCCCGACTACATAAATTCGAGAATGTTTTAGCACTAGGAGAGTATAACCTCGATCATGAGGTCGTGGATGGTTGAGTCATACAAAAATTGTACACATCATAGGCTCCTATGCATCCATGTCAGGAGCTCATACGTAATGTGGGAGTTTTTTCTGGAATGAGATGCACAAATACATTAGGTTCAAATATTGGCATGGTCATGTCGAGTTGATAGGCCCCAAGTATAATACCAAAAAATAAAAATCGTACAATATATTATGAGGTATAAATGCACGTTTTGAAATTTTAGGATGACTTAGCAATTTTACTATTTTTTAGGACCTTGTGTTAATATTCCTAATAATTGGATATATATGAGTTTTACACGAAATTAAATTTTAATATTAATTTAGATATCTATTAAATTATTATTGAATTATCTGATACGAAATTATTTAGACAAGTTTAGAGTTTTTCATATTTATACAAAAATAAGAGAATTAATGAAATTAGAATTTAATGTTTGAATTATATTAATATAAATGTGTTTAGATAAATTTATGATTTTAACAAATTTATACTAGAATCTTATCATCATGTAATTAGAATTTTATTTGATAAGGTTGTTTTCTAAGAGTCTAATTTAAATTCTAATTAAAAGTTCTATTAAAATTTTAAGACGGACATTATCATTATCACACATATAAATACCCTCTTGTTGTTCACTTTAATTCACACAAATTTGGAGAGAGAATAAAGAAAGAAAGAGAGAGGCAGAAGGAGAAAAAATTGTGAGGAAGAGAGAAAGAGTAGAGAAATAAAAGGAAGAAAAGAAAGGAAAATTTTTCCGACGTTTTCGAGATTTGTTCACAAGAATTTCAATTCTGAATAGCTCAAGTACACAAAAAATTTAACAAATTAGGTATGAATTTTTCTAAATGCCAAGTGATTTTGTATTTTAATTTTTTAATGTTTTAAATTAAGGGAGTGTTTGAGCCACATTATTTTGATAATAATGCATTCTTGAATAGTGTATTGATGAAAAATGTGTGGTTAAAAAATAAGAAATTTTTTTTATTTGCATTTAATATTATTTTATTGAAGAATGTGTGGTTGAAATGATATCAAATCACTGTTTAAAAATGCATTTTTTTGGAATAGCGTGGCTCAAACAGGCCCTAAGTATTTTATGTGCTATTATGTGATTCAAAATAAAGAAAGATGTGGAAAATACAAAAAAGGTATTATTATGAAGATCTACACAGAAACTAGTCTCATTGCTAAATACTCTAAGTGGAGATTGAGAATGGGTACAATCTAAGTGAGAATGAGACGGCCAGGTTTCTATCCCACTAGAAATGTTATGTGCGTATTTTATTTATTTTTTATATTAAACTGTGAAAATACTGGCATGAAATTTATACCGAGTATATTCATATGCTCATTCCATATTCTAAATTATTTTTACAAATACTTTATGAATCTGAGTTGGAGGTTGAGACTGTTGACAGAGTCCGTATTGCTGGATCAAAAATTTAAGATTTTCTTTTAATATTTAGTATTTAGTTAGAAAACATTTTTTTATTCAAATTAGAATTTTTTTTTTCATAATCAATGTTGAACTTTTAAAAATAAGTACTGGATTTATAGTACAATAGTTGATTAGATTAATTGATATTTTATGAGAATAAAATAACTTATTTTTATTCCACAAAGTTTCTTCAAAATTTTCGTATTATAATGTGTCGATCAACTTTTTATAATGGTTAAAGTGATTATTTAAGTAACCTCCAGAGCATAGATTTCGGAACGTTACATTTTGGTATCAGAGTCCAGTCAATCTTTCTCGCAGACTTTGTAAAATTAAAATTTTAAATTTCTTTATATGTTAAAATTAAATAAACTTTGATCCTCACGACATCGGGACCAGCATGATCGACTTCTAATTGGTGATCTAAGGAATGAAATTATTTTATTAGCTTTAAATGTCCATTTAATGAGTTTGGAATTCTTTTTCTACAGCGCGGATATTGGGTGTTGAAATTTTAATAAAGTAGATAAAATCGTTTTATATGTAGCACTAATTGAAGAATCACATGTTTATAATTTTCATATAGTAATATCTATGTCATGTGTGTATCTTTGAGTGCATATATTTAATTATGCACTGCATGCATGTAATTAGATTGATGTCGATTCAGTTATTCAAATGGCAATAATAATAATAATAAAATGGGAAATTTTATTGTTTGAGTTTTCTAGATTTGCGTATTTACAAGACTAAAAGGTTTTGTCAAAAAGATATAAACTGTTTAATGCGAGCTTGAGATTTAAGCAGTCCATTTATGACCTTTCCTTACCTGAAAGCTTTTTCATTTGCGTGTCAGTCAAATCTTATTAAGAACAGTGGGAATATAGTGAACAGAAACAACATTATTTTATCGTCATCAGCTGTATATCAAGATAGTTGAATTGACTTGAATGACATCTAATAAATGATCTCCACATTTAAGGTTTAGATAACAGCTAACTTTACAAAAGAATTGCTAGCTGCTATGTGAGAGATGTCGCAATAGCAACCACCTTAACAGCCACGAGATAGGCCCGATTCATCTTCAATTATAAAACAATTCGCAATATGCACCCACCCATGTTTGAAGGTGGCCTTCATCCACCGACCGCTGAAGAATGGCTTCGCCATCTTGAGCGTATCTTTAGATTTATGGAATGCACCGACACACAAAAAAAAAAAAAAAAAAATCCATTGTCGTCCTAACCATAAAAAAATCCTTTGTGGTCCATGGAGAATGGAACATGTCATTGGTGGGAGATGACTACCAGATCTCGTACCGAATAACCTAAATTTAGAAATGGATGGAAAGATTATAAACACAAATTTAGTGGTCCTAAACATAAAAGATTTTGACGTTATTCTTGGAATGGACTGGTTGTCGAAAAATCATGAACCATTCGTTGTTTTGAGAATGATGTAATTTTCAATGGCTTGGTGAAAAAGAATTTCATTTATTTGAAACAAGGATGAAACCTATACCTCAACTTATATCAGCAGTGCAGGCTGAACGCTTGTTGAAAAAAAAAGTCTGCTAAAAGATTTTTAGTGTCTTTGACTAGCATTAATCAGAAGGAGTTAACCATCGATGAAGTTCGAGTGGTTAGAGATTTTTTTAGATATATTTCTAGAAGATTTATCGGGAATGCCTTCAAATCGAGAGGTCTAGTTTACTATTGACCTCGTACCGGGTGCCACACCAATTTCAAAGGCTCTTTATCATATGGAATAAGTAGAACTTCAAGAATTGAAAGAACAATTGCATGATTTGCTAGACAAGGGTTTTATTAGACTCATTGTCTCACCGTGGGGACCTCCAATGATGAGAATGTGCATCAATTATCTAGAGTTGAACCGTACTCTACCTTCTCTTAAAAGAGAGGATTTAGGATCGCTATTCATTGTTGTCACGTTAGTTTTCACACTTAACTAGTGTGAAACTGGTTTGGTTCTTTTTTTTTTTTTTAATCTACTTCTACTTTCTCTCACAAGAGGGACTTGGAAGAATACTATTCATTTTTGTCATGCTCATTTTCACACTCTACTCCCAAACTAGTTTTGTACTGTTCATCCCATTAACCCCATTATCATTTCCTTTGTTTTGATTATCTACTTCCAAATCTTGATCCTAACTAAAATAAAAAGACACTTGTTGTAGCACTGTTTCTATGGAGTCGTGTTCAGTTACTGCATTTAGATGGTATTTCATCATGCAAAAATTCTAATGTTAGAAAATTAAACAAGAAATAATGGAATAAAGCATAACTTCAAAAAATTAAGCGAACCGAATTGTAACTATCATTTTACACCAATATACTAATAAAAAAACTTAATGATTTAAAAAATTATAGAACAAACAAAAAAGTTATTATAAAGTTTTTTTAATTAAGTTGAAATAATTCAAATTAAAAATAAAATATTGTTTAATTAAATCTACCTTCTCTTAAAAGAGAGGATTTATGACAACTTTTCATTTTTGTCACATTAGTTTTCACACTTAACCAGTTTGAAACTGGTTTGGTCCTTCTTCTTCTTTTTATTTTTTTATATCTATTTCTTTTTTCTACTTTCTCTCTAAAGAGAGATTTGGGGGAGTACTATTCATTTTTGTCAAACTCTATTCCCAAACTGGTTTTGTACTATTCATCCCATTTATCCCATTATCATTTCCTTTGTTTTGACTATTCGCTTCCTAATTTTAATCCTAGCTAAAATAAAAGAGGCACTTGTTGTGACACTGTTTCTACGAAGTCGTGCCCAGTTATTGTATCTAGATGGTATTTCATCCTGTAAAAAACATTGATCAAGATATAATGGAATAAAGTATAATCTCAAAAAATTAAGTGAACCGAATTGTAATTATCATTTTACACCAATATACTAATAAAAAAAATTAAATGATTTAACAAATTAAAGAAAAAAAAGAATTGCAAGCAAAAAAAAAAAGGTTATTATAAGGTTTTTTAATTAAATTGAAATAATACAAATTAAAAATAAATATTATTTAATTAAAATTGAATAAATTATGTTTTATCATAAAACAAACTTAAAAAAAAATAATTTTAATTAAATAATATTTAATTTTAATTTTAATTAAAAAAAA